AAAAAATAAAATTTATAGGTTCTTAAGTCTGACCGCCAAATACCCGCCACACGACAAGTTTTGCTTCTCGAACCCGCCAAAAACCCTGCGGGTTTTGAAAACCCGCAGAAAGCGGGTTCGCGGGTTCAAAAGTGGCATCTCTAGTATCAATGTATTGATAAAGAAATAATCGAAACGCGTTTACATTGAATACAGATAAGAATTTGATATTGTTTTTCATTAAAGTGAACATTTGTCAAAATGAACAATATACGGTTGAGACAACGATCCAACACCCACAATAAACCACTAAGGCCCGCACAGGTACTAAATGCCATGGCTCACTATCCTTACGGTGCACCTTCACCTTTGACTTGTCGCGCTGCACTATACCACGCTAAAATTCTACAAGACACGCTGCATTAGGCTCAATGGCACCTCGGCCATTGTACCGACATTATAAATATCGTCGACCTTGCCGTTGACAGTTTCGCCGGCGTTCACTTTGCCCTGCAATATGGACAGGGCTGCATCATTAGTTAACCTCTGCGGTGCTGAGCCCAACCGGTCTACTTCAGTGGTGAGTGATGGGCCTAACGCAGCGATGAATAATGACCTGACACAGGGTGTGTGCACGCTGTGGTGAAACCGGCGCAATATGTGTGCACGATGTGACGAAACCGGCGCACCAGGTGTGAGACTGCTGCGAAACTGGCGCAACAGGTGTGTGACTGAGGGATATCAGTGCGCCAGGCGTGCATCTTATAGCACAATAGCACGTGTGAGCTTCTTGGTGTGCACTAGACCCGCAGCACAATATTTCAGCTCTCTCCAAAATCGCCAATGACCGTGAATATATTTTACAAACCATGCACGGCCTCAAAAGTTGTTTCTGGTTTTTAACACTAGGTAACCACACATAGCTGCTGCCATATGCTACTGCTCAGTGTACATGATATGTGCATTGTGCATATGTTGTTGCACAAGGTAGCCGTCAATCCATCCTCCTTTTAGCATCATGAATATCTTGACTAACTAGAAGGATAAACTCATCCGACATTTCTCTGCGTGAGGGCTATAAGGCATAATTACGCCAACCTTCAATTGGAGAGTAATCCATGAATTATGCAAAACGTTGTCCAAGCATTAGCCTGATAAGGTCATAGACCAGCAAGAAGTTCATAGCATGTACTTGTGCACGGCCGTGCAACTGCACCATCTCTAAAACTGCTCCCTGTCTGCTGCAGTCGGTAGTAAAAGACCAAACTATCTCATGCCCGAGTCCTGACACGCATCATCAGATTCCACTTCATACTTCTCAAAGCACTAATTTACCACCAATGGGTGAGATAAACCAGTTATAAGGAACAACAATTTGGGCAACTGTAATCAGGGGAGGGCGTGCGACCGAGGCAAAATGGAACAACTTAAACCGTATCATGAACGGGCTCGGAGTCTCGCAAGGCTCAGAACATTGTTAGCAGCTGCAGTTTATGATTGTGCTTTTAAAACATCAGTCACAGTGAACAAATACATCTAAACTATGATAGTCACGGTGCATGCCAGTTGAGTATTATGTGCTGCAGATGCGTGACAGGGCTGACCGTGATACCATGTGATACTTCTAGGAGGCAGCAAGTGACTTCCGATTCTAGATTCTTTTTCCGCGCTAGGATCCCAGCATGCGCCTTTCAGTACAATCATCTTTTGTCTACATCATGCAATTTCGTTTTCTCCCTCTCTCTCTAGCTTGCTGGTGCCATCGTGATCTAAGATGATTAAAAATCTTCAACTTATGCAAATGCACGTGATTTGGCGCGGGGCCCGAAATTCATTTACCTCAGACTGTATTGTCATAACAAATGTTCCATCAAGTACTCAGTACGACAGCATCTGTAGCCTCAGCTGTGAAGTTGTGGGTCTTATCATATGAGTTTTGTGCTGGACTGAATAACAATAAATTCTGCAGCCGGCATGAGAGCGAAACTTGACCGAAGTTATTGTGCTCATGTGTCGTGGCACCGTTTTAAAGGGACCCTCCCACCTTAACATTAGTTTTGAGTTGAGATAGCCAAGTTTGCGGCCAGGCTCGGAAACCACCATTTATCCTGGTCGCAACCCCCGCAGCTTTATGGTGTTCAAGAAATTTCTCCCCTTTACTTGCAGGGTGGGACCAGCGTGGTCCCTATCTCTTAACCATTACGGGAATCTGATGACGTCATCAGGCTTTCGAACGTCCGTTAAATGTTTGACTAAAACGTTTTGTAGCACGCGGTGGTATATGCTGCTTTGCGCGCAACAAATGCCGCACTTTCAAATAAAGTCGCTAGGAACAGCGGAGATCCCAAAAAGTAAACAAAAGTAAAAGTCTAATATCTTGAAAACCGGTGAATATTTTTCGATGAAATTTGGTAGATATTTGTTTTTGCTCTTTCTGAACCGAGCGACATCACTTTCATGCCAATTCATTAACTTTTTTGAAGGTGGGAGGGTCCCTTTAATATGACGCTGGAGCCATGCCTTCCTCCCACGCCTTAAAGACGTGGTAGCCGGCGGGATCATCTTCTGCTTGGTTTTTGTTTCAGTTTCGTTTATAATTTGATATTTTTCTGAGCACCTTATGTTACTGCTGTTTTTTCATTTTCTTTTTCCTTAGAAGTACATACTGATATAGAGCTAGAAGTTAAAAACCAAATGTGAACTAAACATCTGCTAGCCAATAAATAAGTTCCATGCTGAATAATCTTGCATCGTTATGCACGCCAGAAAATAAAAATGATACAGGATTCAATTCAATTTGGTAACTATTAGCTTACTTTTCTCAAAAGATAAAGATTCATCGTTGTTTTCAACAATGATCGTTGCGTAATAAATGTCATTGCCCCCTGTGACACGGATTCAATAAAGTAAAGTTTTGAGCTTTCAGCCTCACATATCATTTGAGGAATGAGCTGTTTTGGCATTTGTACAATGTTGAAAAGGTGCCAATTTTCTGACATTTTAATCTGTGATGGCGATATGCTAGTGTCACACTTCACTGACATAATTAGCTTCTAGCGGAAAATATACCGCCGATAGCAGGAATAACTAAAGTTCAGCACAAACTGGATTCTTCTGTCAAAACCAATTGAATCGGGGGTGTGAGGCCACGATGGATGGTTCGAAACCGGAAACCACGATTCTTTTTAAGTTTAGAAATAATTTTAGCTCATTCTTTTTGCCTTGAGAATGAGCAAGAGTGTTGAATAAGAAGGCGATCAACACCCATTCACTTTCTCCCTTTCGATTGATATTGAACGTAACCTAGGCATGATCGTGGAACATAAATTGGAGTTTCTTTTCGTTTCAAATTGAGACAAATTGCAATAGACAACTTCAAGACGATCATTAGACCCTCAGGACTGACAAGATAGGCGAATATGACAGGAGAATGGCTTGGTCAACAATGCGAGTCATCATGTGTATTGCAACACAGTGCTTTAGTGCTCTGTAAATCATGCAAAAGGACCGAACAGTATTCGGAAGGTGCCCAAATTCTGCAGGATGTCTTATCCGACCAAACAGACTTTATTCTCCGATCAACCACTGGACACTGATTCTTGGATGCTTGAAGTCCTGCTAAAACTGTTACAGCATACGGCCTAGCCAAGTTGGCCAAGTTCGTCGAAATGTCAGCGGCGCTTGCCTCTTGTTCCATACTGAAAGAGGTCTGATTCGGACGGATTTTCCGTCACCCTGCTAAACCGACATGGCAATTGGCATATTTCATCGTTCGCACATAATCGCCACGAATGGTCATCAATACGCTCTCAATTCTCGGTCAAACCCAAGATGCTGAGACACAGATCGACGTCTGGTGACTAGTTGGTTTGGAGGGTCGCTGGGCGAACTTTTGCTGGAGCCGGCGTGATAACTGGCCTTGTTGCACAACAGCTTCAAGCTCCTTGCTCTTGAAGAGACGCTTAAATTTAACTTTGCTTTTGCGCTCAATGCCAAAAGTGACTTTTCTCCTACCGTCGTACTTGTAGTTCTGGTATGTGAATACAATAAACTGCATTGAACTAAGCCTGGTTAGGTTAACCGATCTAAATGCGTTGGTTTGTCAGTTGTGATTCAGTACGAACTGTCCGCTGATGCGGGTAAGCTCTGTCGATGTACCGAAATAGCCCTGAGCCGTTCAGTTGGTGGGAAGCGCGCTGGAGTATCACATCAGTCATCGCACGGTGGCTTTGGGCCTGCACCAGCAGTGCGCGCTGTGGGGTAGTCGGATAAACCATATGGGAGCGTGGAGGCAGGAGGCTGCCGCACATCCGTCCTCTCTTTCATCAGAGCAACGCATAATCATCCTTGATCACATTTGTCTTTTACGGACCATGGTAATCCCACCCACACAACCGGGGAAGGCAAGTTCAAATATGAATATAAAACTCTGGGGTGACCGTTCAGGAGGTTGGGCGGTCTGTTCCACTGCACAGGGACATTCTTTCCAAATGGGATGAGCTCACCCAATGCATGACACCACTTGGTGGTCGACATCCTAATGTTTCCTCCTATTCCCTCACCCTGTGTCATTGAAATGTATTCAATAAACCGAAAGACGAACCTAAAAAAAGAAAGAAAATAGACAAAAGGCTGCGACAAAGTCAAGGCCCATATGATATGCGTAGTTGACTTGAACGCAGACTCAACACATCTCTTTGAATTCATTGTGTAACCTAGCTTCTATTGGCTATCGGTTATCCTTTGCCGAAATAACTCATGAGATTCTTTGTTTGAAAGAAATAAGTGGTGAGCATATCGTTCTACACGTGTACCTATATCACGTTTTTAGCAATCGGCTTCGATTTATTCAGGATGTAACACATCATGATGCTATGCTGTACGTCACATGCATGTGATGCCATTAAGGCAACAAGGTTGAAATGCTATGGCTACTATCTACATAGCTGAGTCATATAACAATTCGTGCCCCAAACCCACCTCAATACCACCCGAAGGAATGTTGTGATCGTTTTACTCACCGTGCCAATATCATCATGTTCGGCCTACTCTCGATCTTCTGATGTCAGTTCCGTCTCTGTTCCACACAGCTCACACCTGTGCACCTCTGACACACCGTTCCTCTTTTCTCACCGACCTAACGCTCCCCGGCGCACCATCTCGGTCCCCTGGCCTCTCTCGGCGCACACCGCTCCGCTCCGACCGGCCGGCGGGCCGCTGGGTCACTGACGAACCGGTACCGGTCGGCGCTCGACGGCCCCTCGGCGCGTCGGCCGTCACCTGGCCGTCGCTCCCGTCGCTCCCGTCGCTCCCGTCGCTCCCGTCGCTCCCGTCGCTGCCGTCGCTCCCGCAGAGCCATTTGTTTGGCACCGTGCACGGCGGGACGGGCAGCGAGCGTCACCCCCGCCCCGCCTGCCGGTTCCCCCCGAGACGGAGGGGCAGAGGGCGAGGTCAAACATGTCTCGGGCACCCCGGGGAGTGGTACAGGGTGGATGAAAAGATTGCACATAATCGGGGGGTGTTGCAGTGACCGGTCGTTTGTCATTTGGTACATTAGCGCCATTCTGGGGCCTTTGTGGTATTGTTGCAGTGCAATCGAATAGTGCGACCTACTAAATGCACTAAGAGGGCTGAGTATCACGTAGGGTGTTTTTTTTTTTCAAGAAAATCATAATTCTCTAAGTGAGCAGAAATGTAAAAACAGATAAGGAGCATGACCGCCCAACTGCAACTATTCTCTTTATGCTGGCTGAATCCCTGGCTATTATTCGGATATGTAATCCACATTAGCGCAAGTGAACACACCTTCTGAGAGAAGAGGCCCCACTGCAGCAATTAACTCAACCAGCGCAATTATTTGCGCAATTCTCGGTCCATCTAAGCGCTCCATTTTACACCCTGACGGTAGCAACTTTGAACAAATGGGCTGCAGTAAACCCATCTTTAGCACTCGTGTGAGTTTTCTGGCTCCCATTTGCACGATAAAAAGGAGTTTATGCCTGCGCTCGCAGCTCTGCAATTGCTGTAAATTGTTTTAGTCGTTGCAATGATCATGCTGCCTAATTAAAGCGACTAGATTGCACTTTCGGCCTAGTAAACCGGAGGTAGTGCTTCAGACTCAGCATAGGCCAGTGGGCCAAGTGCCCAGGTGGCTCAGCCGGATGATGAAGTCTATGTAGTGCCTCAGACTCTGTGATCAAAATGATCAAATTGAGATAGATGCCCTTGCGATCCAATATTCTACAAACGTCTACCGCTGAAAAGTGCAAATATACTGCATTGTGAGCCATGACCGCTTCCAACGGTTATGCCTATATCCGCCTAGACCAAGTGTAAACACAGCTAAAGCGGTTGCTGTAATTCGTCCTTCGGCATTCAGTAAACAAACTCTTGCTAGCGTACACACGACAGTACATTTTTCCATGTTCTCAGCCTAACATTGTAAAACACTGTCGGCTCCCGAGCTACTGACGCACTGATGGTCGTCTTCTGTAAAGCCCGACCGTGAAAAGCACCATCTTTCCTGAGAGTTGCCACGAGTTCGACCCTCTCAGCCAGCGTGACGCGGCGGCCCGACAGCGTGCCAGGTCAGGCCTCGGGTCAGTTTACTCACTTTGGAACGACCCGGCCGGCGGACGGCAGGCAAACGACGGGTCCCCTCCAGAAATAGGCGCTTGTTCGTACACAGAAGCAGCCTGTGTGCTGCCGCGCCATCCACTCATACACACACGCGCCGGGGGAGATGGGCCCTCCGGTGCATTTGTACCGGGTAGAAGGAAAATATTTTCGAGGGATTCTGTATGCATGCTTTGAACGTCATGGGAAGTTGATGATTTGTTTGATGATATCATGCCAATATGATGCAGTAATGCACAAACCATGCAGCAGTGCGGTAGGCGAATCATTTCTCCATGTAATTATAGTTAATATCCAAAGTGGTCATAGGCGGCGGAACGGGGAGGGCACCGGGGCACCGTGCCCCCCTTTGATTTTGGCATTTTAACTAGTCCTACGGGCGTTGCACGGAAAGAATGGGACCAAAAGTCGGCAGTGCCCCCCCCCCCCCCCCACTTAATTGAAGGTGTTCCGCCGCTACTGAAAGTGGTGGTAGTGTGACTGCGAAGCGATGGCCAAACAATGCAGAGTTAGCAGGCCGAAGGCGACGCGCTGCTTCGTACCTCCATGTACTTCCCACATAGGTACCTGACCTTCCACGGGCTACCCCAGATTCAGCGCGTCCACAATTCCGCTTAACGAGGACGACTTTTAAATCTCACAACACTCCTGTAAAGTGTTCACCACCCGTTTTGCATATCCATGCATTAATGGTCATATTGCACGAAACCTACTAGCAAACGTTACCTTTCCTAATTGCGTAGGGATCTATAAACGACTAGCGATGAGTGTGTTTTCAATCTGAGCCAAGGAAATACGTTTGGCCAAACGTGAAGCGCTTCTTGCGTCTCAAAACACCGTATGCCCAATACAGGCCACTCACGACTCAACCACTGCTTTCGGATTGCTTTTCCAATTTATCCAAAGGCTCAGCGCCGCCACAGGCGCCATACTTTTCGCCAGTATTGTTTTCCGTCGGCAGTTTGCAGTGCTCAGCTCCAGTGAGCTGGCGAGCAAGTACTCCGCTGACGCCGAAAAGTGCACCGGTAGCGGCCGCAATGTGAGACCAAAGCCGGCAATCGGAGACCGCCCGATGCACCATTGTTGTTTGGAATAGTAAATGGAATCGAACTGACCACTAGCTGGAGTATATTGCTGAATAGAAAATGCACTAGAATGAAAAGTTGCGTTGAAAAGGTGCAGTTCCTCAAACTGTTTCGATCAAGGATTCAATAGAAAGACGACAGAGCGAAACATAAGTTAAGTGCCTATGGAAATATTTGAAAAGGAAATATCGCCGTCTCTTGCATAATCAATGTATTTCCTATTGATATCGCACTTGCAATCGGCTGGCCTGGCAAGATGTCGACCAGCTCCTCTGCGAAACATTCCTCCAGATATTGCATGAGATGAAAATCGCTCGGGTTGATATCTCGCCACGAAGAATACCGCTGTGGTGTGTATGTGCGAATGGACTGCATAAAAGAAGACTAAAGTGGGGTGGGGATAGTGTGATGTGCATAAGTTGGGGCACCCCGCGTGTGCGTGCCTGGGCGCGCCTCTGCGCGCGCCTGCCGCCGTGACCGGGACCTGGGCGACGGAGCGGCGGAGCGCCAGTCTACGGTTTGAGGTGAGTGAGAGCGCGCGATCACACTGGTGGCAGCGGTGGGATAAGTGCAGTGATGGAGCGAGACAATCGATTGGTGTGGGGGGACGGGGAAGATCTGGACGATTTTCTCCGACGCGTGGATGCGTGTCGTCTCACCGTTGGAGACGAAAGTAAGGCGGTAGGGAAGGCCCTACTGGGCCTTGGATCGAGAATCAGTGTGATGGATTCTCTTTCGGAAGATGACAAGAAGGACGTCGCAAGTCTGAAGGCAGCCCTTAGGCGGGAGTTCGGCAACTCAACCAGGTGGTACCAGGAGAGTTTCGAGAAACGGCGGAAGAAGCCCGAGGAGACATACGGTATGTTCCTGTCTGTTTTATGCTCTCTGTTCCGTGGTGCGTTTCCAGGCACTGATACTGACGCCCCGGTAGCCAAGACGCTGCTCAAAAGCCGTTTTTTGGATGGGATCAATCCAAATGTGTCGTCCCAGTTGCGCCTGATGTTTCCCGACGTCACTGCTGATAAGTTGCCGGAGCATGCTCGACGCGTAGATGAGGCTCTGGCGTCCTCGGGGTCACATGCGCCGGTACAACAGGTCGCTGAGCTAGGAGCAGAGGAGGGTGGTGAGGTAGCCCAGCTGCGGGGAGAGGTCGCTGAATTATCGCGTATGGTACAGGCGATCCAGTCCGGCGGCCCGCGGGCTCGGCCGACCCGTGGAGGACCGGCGGCCGGCGCAGCCCGAGGCGCCATGACGTCATCGCGCGGCTCGGCCAATGTCCAGTGCTGGACCTGCGGTGCGCAGGGGCACGTCCAGGGGGAGTGCAGGAGCGCGCGAGGTGGACGGACCGGTGGCCAGCGGCCGGGGGCCACCGGCGGAGAGGAGAGGGGATCACGTCGAACATGTTGGACTTGCGGTTCACCGGGACACATGCAGAGGGAATGTTTCAGGGCACCGGTAGGTCGTGGTAGAGGCCGTCCAGCGCCGGTCACCTGTTGGAGATGCAATGAGTTCGGCCACACTCAGTACGATTGTCCGTTAAATTTAAACTGAAGTGGGTTACTGCCGAGGGGCGGGCGGTAACCAGCTCTCAAGGACAATGCCTCAGAACTGGTACTGCTCTACCGGTGCGGTCAGCTGAAGGGCCCTCGGCTTGTTCTCTGCATGTGAGAGGTCGCATTGGAAAGCTGCCGTGTACGTGGTTGGTGGACACGGGCGCGGTGGTCTCGTGCGTGTCGGCGGCTCTACCGGGAGTCAGCTCCGTTCCTCTTTCCACAGCTGAGCAGAATCCAATCGGAGCTAACGGGATACCGCTGCAGTGTGTCGGCCAGATTTCAGCGGACCTCCTGATCGGACCAGCCGCGGTCAGCAACGCTCGCATTCTGGTTGTCAAGGACCTCTCGGCACCGGCAATCCTGGGCACGGATGTGCTCAGGAAGTTCAAGACATTCAGCGTGGATTTTTCGAAGCGGTCTCTACATATCGGTAGTCATTGCATCCAGTTGGAGGCGAGGCGTGAAGGTACACCGCAGCAGCCGGTTTCCGTCTGTTTGGCATCAGATTATACCCTGGATCCTTTCTCAGAGCGACTGGTCGACGTCATGGCGTTTGATTTCGGGGCGTCGGCACGTGATGTCATCTTTGACCCCGATCCATCGAAGGCGGTGCGGCTTGGTGTCGCCCTCTGCCCCTGTATAGCACGGTCGGATGTCGATAACAGGATTCCGGTCCTTGTGAAGAATGCTGGAGCAGAGCCAGTGAGGTTGTATGCGAACTCTGTCTTGGGAGAAGTCAGCGAGGGGCAAGTGGCGGCAGTGGCTGACGGAACGAAACCAGACAGAAACGGCCCGGTTCAGGTTGATCTGTCGGGCGCAGAACTAGGCGATCGAGACCGGGGAACGCTCAGGAGGCTGTTAAACAGTTACCGAGATGTTTTCGCAAACACAGACGACGAATTGGGTCGAACAAACATTGTTCAGTTCTCGATCAACACTGGGAATCGCCCCCCGGTGGCAGTCCGAGCTCGCCGTACCCCCTATCATTTGAGGCCCGAAGTTCGGAGGCAGATTATGAACATGGAAGAAA